AGACCCCCCTGCAGCCCATGGAGGAGCATTGGGATGCAGAGACCCCCCTGCAGCCTATGGAGGAGCCCCTGCTGGAGCAGGTGGATGCAGGAAGGAGGCTGTGACCCGTGGGAGGCCCAGGGTGGAGGAAGGTCCTGCCAGAGACCTGCGGCCCCTGGAGAGGGAAGCCCACGCTGGAGGATGTTTTTCCCAGGTAGGATTTGTGGCCCCTGTGGGGGACCCACGTTGGTACAGCTCATTGGTGAAGGACTGCACCCCATGGAGGAGTGACCCACGGGACAGCAGTTTGGGAAGAGCTGCTGCCCGAGGGGTGGACTCGTGCCAGAGAGGTCCATCAAGGACTGTCTCCCGTGGGAGGGACCCCATGGGAGCAGGGGAAGGACTCCAACTCCTCTCCCTGACAGCAGCAGAAATAACAACTGACTGTAACCCCCATCCCCTGTCTCCCTGCACTGCTGGTGGGGAGGAGGTAGAACTTGGAAGGAAGGAGGGGTGGGGGGAAGGTGTTTTTAAGATTATTTTACTGCTCACTCTTTTGCTCTGATCCTGTTAGTAGCAAATGTAATTAATATCCCCACTTTGAGCCTGTTTTGCCTGTGATGGTGATCAGTGAGTGACCTTTCCCAGCCCTTATCTCAAGTCCTGAACCCTTCATTGTTTTATTTTTCTCTCCTCTGTCCAGTTAGAGAGAGGAGTGAGAGAGCAGCTTTAGTGGCTACCTGGCATCCAGACAGGGTCAACCCACTACAAGCCCTCACACCACAAGGGATGTGTCCCTTGTCACCACGGGTGGGGGTCCCAAGGGTGACCCTGCTGCCGTGCCAGGGTGCAGGAGATGCAGGAGAGGGACATTTTGGGAATGGGATGTCAAGCACATCCCCAGCATCACTGAGCAGGCTGAGGTCAGGCTCAGCCCCCTCTGGTCCCCCCCAGGCCCCAGTTTTTACCTTGCCATAGACCTCCACGGTCGCCCCCAGCTCCTCCAGCTTGCGCTTGGGGATGGGGCCGCTGGTGCTGGGGATCACCACGGTGATGGGCAGCCCCAGCTTCTTGGCTGCATATGCTGCTGCCAGACCAGCGTTCCCCCCTGTGGGAAGCAGTGCCTCAGGCAGGGCTTGGCCCCCTATACGTCCCCAGATTCCTCAGGGAATGAGCTGGGGATGGAGTTACCTGAGGAGCAGACGAATTGGCGGCAGCCCTTCTTGGCAGCCTGAAAGGTGGGAGAAAAAGAAGGAAGGGATTGGCTGTGTCCACCTGCCAGGTCCCTCATGGGGGCAGGAACAGTTCCCTGCCCACGCCATGCCCACACTCACCTCCTGGCAGAGGTGCCCGATGCCCCGGATCTTGAAGGAGCCCGTGGGCTGGACGTTCTCCAGCTTCATGAAGACCTTGGTGCCCGCTGCCTTGGAGAGGGGCAGGCTCTCCAGGATGGGCGAGACGACGTGGAAGGGCTTCTGGCCCCCACCAGGCTGGGCTGCCATGGCCCTGGTGATGGACGCTCTGCCAGGGAGAGGTGGTGGAGTCACCAGATCCTCCCCATCAGTCCACCCCACAGCCTCAATGCCCACCCCAGGCTCGGTGCGGGGCACGGGAGCCCCTCAGGAGGGAAAGGGCTGTCCTCAGTGTTTCCTGCCAGCTCCAGGATGTAGGAGCACCTATGGGGTCTCCCTGTCAGAGCCCCGGGTCAGGCTGTGCCATCCCCTCCTCCATCCTCCCGGACCTCATTTCCCGGTGTCCGCAGGTGCCCCCTGCACGTCCTGTCCCATAACCCAGCCAGGGTCACCGCAGGGTGGGGGTTACCTGGTGTCCCCTGGGGCCTCGCTGCGTGTCCCCAGCTGCTCACCCGCCGCCGAGTCTGGGGGACAGAAGAGGGAGAGGTGACGTCGGAGGGGCCGTGCCGGTCCCTGTGCTCAGCCGCGCAAGGGGCGGCGGTCAGACATTGCCCCGGCCCTTCTGTTTGCTCAGCACTGTGGGAGTTTTACAGCCGCGACGCTGGACCGATGCCGAAGGCGCCTGGCCATGGCTGGGCACGCTGCCGGGTGTCCTGGCCAGGACAGACACGTGTGGTCCTGCCAGCCAGATCCCTCTGAATGCTCGGGAGATGGGACGTGGGCACCCAGGAGATGGGGAAGGGGAGAAACAGCTCCCAAATGATTTTGGGGGTCCTTAAGGGTTTGCACTGGCTGTTCTCAGGTCCAACCAGGAACATGTCCCAGCAGATTTTAGGACTTTGCCCATTTGACCCAGGGCAGCCTGCACACCCCAAACCCCCACATAAGATACCACTTATTGCCTCCACATGAGCCATCACACCCCTGTGCCCACCCTGCCAAGCCCCACACCCCACAGCAGCCCCAGAATCCTGTCTAAGCTGCACATACCAGGGAGGCTCAGTCCCTCCACCTGTATGAGCCCCCCAAGATGAGACCACCATGCCAGACACCCAGCAGAGGGTCAGGAGGGGTCCGGGTCAGGGGGACCCCCCTACAAAGGTGCCCCCTGATCACCCCTTGGAGAGGGTCAAGCTGGAACAGTCTGAAAGCAGAGGTTGCACGGGAATCCCAACAGGGAGACACTGCACAGCAGCTGGCACAGGCACATCACAGCCAAATGGGATGCACCGGGAATATCCCCACCCTCTTCAGTTCAGACTCACTGCAGGCAGACAGCAATAAAACAGACACAGAATATCTGATTTTAGTCCCCTTGTTACCCAGTGAGAGGCTAAAAGTTGATACAGTTAATGCACTGGGTATCTGAATGCAAGGGCTTGCTTATCAAACCCATATCAGGCTGGAACCAGAGGTCTTAGTGCTGTGACTGGAGATGAACATCTCCATATCAAACAGGACCAGGACTCTCAGTTAGGTGACTGAAGGTGAACAACTCCATATAAGGAAATAATTAATAAGCTAATAATCTCTGGGAAATAATTGAAATACTCCAGCCTTTATATAAGAAACAGGTTGACTATCTCTATAGTGTAAATAAACCACTAATTCAAAGTCGTGGTGTGTGTGACAGGAAGAGATGTCCCTCGCACACCTGGCACCAAAAATAAAGTGCAAATAAAGCTTTCTAATACTACAAAGAGTGTTTTAGTCCCGATTTTCAGTGACACCCTGACCCAAACTGTGCTGCAAATGCCCCTGGGAGCACTCTTGCTAACACGCAGTGGGAGCTGCAGGGCAGCCCTGCTCCTGATGGGATGAGAGAAGGCTGGGCCCTTGGTGGCAGGAGCTGGGGAAGGGGTGCAAGGAGCTCCCAAGAGCTCACAGGGAAGAGGCTGGGGACCCCCTTGGTGAGACCACCACGTGTTAGCTCAGACCTGAGGTGCTTCAGGGTCCCTTTCCACACTACACCTACTTCCTCCTCCCCCCTTTGCCGCCTTTTGACTCTATCCCTGCCCCAAGGAAGGCAATGCCAGGCTGTCACCACATCACTTCCCTTGGCCAGAGTCCTTGGGTGACAGCACCATGGCAGCTGAGGTGATATTTAACAACTTTTTGGTTTTCCACTTCAAAAAAAAAAAACCAAAACACAAAAATGGAGGGGAAGCAGCAACCCAGCCACTGTTACAATTCCAGCATGCCCTGTGTTTGGCACCAATGTGCTTGTCCCTCCTTGCTGCTCCTTCACCTGGTGATGGAGATCTCCTATCTGCCAAAACTGAGGCACAGGGATCCCTCGAGCAGCTCCCCCTGCCACAGGAGCCCACACACCACGGGGACACCAGGGGACACAGGCTCTGCCACTCCCACCTTACCTGCAACCCCTCCCCACACAGTGGGCTATGGACACCCTGCCTTGTCCAGTGCACCCATCCCAGAGTTTGGGATGCCAAACAGCACCCCAACAGCCCAGACCTGCTGCATCCCACCCCCCTGCAGACCCCACGGAGCCCCAGGGGCCCCCAGTCCCGCTGGGAACCCGGCACCTTCAAAGCCCTGCCGAGCCAGCACATTAATCCCCCACTAATGACCTCGTTATTCCTAACGAGGCAGATCAAGGGACCTGCTGCCCAAGAGGATTTTGCACCGGGGCTTTTGGGGATGGGGGCACACAGGTGCCTGAGAGGGGAAGAAAAAAGGGATGAGGATGGTCTCCCACTCCTGCAGGGAGAGCACTGGCGCTTCCCCATTTCAGCAGCTCTGCCCCACACCGGTCCCCAGCCTGAGGCAGCAGCAGAGAACCCTCCACAGCCTGCACCCCAAAAGAGCCCGGCCTGGCTGGGCACACACCCTCCCACTTGCAGAGAAACAGGATCACCCTGTTAATGTGGGGGGAGCAAGACCACTGTGTGAGCCCAACCCTCAGAGCAGCCACCCGAGAGTCCGGCAGAGAGCAAAGCACCGCCACCAGCACAGAGCGCTTTATTTGTCACAGCCACGCCAGCTCACTGCCCTCCTCTCTGCCCCGGGGGCGAGCCCCAGGATCCCAGGACCTGCTTTTTTCTGGGAAGAGCCTCCCCAAGTCAGGTGTCAGCACCCAGGGACAGGTCCCAGGCCTGGAGAGCCCCGTGGCGGGGAGAGAGAATGGGGGGCTCAGCCCCCTGCGCAGCACAGCCGGGACCTGAGAGGCAGAGAGAGCCAGGGGAGGGCAGGGTATCACAGAGCTGCGGTGCCCCCCCACCCAGCTGACCCCTAAAGGGATCCCTCCACAGGACAGACACCCACTGATGGACGGACAGGATCAGCCCACGGGTGCCTGTTCAGTCCCAGTGGACCTTGACCGGGGGGAACGTCCAGAGGTCCGGGTGGCCCATGTGGAGCAGGGAGCTGCAGGGGGACGTGCTCCAGCGGAAGGGGGGCACATCATCCCACGTGGGGCCACTGGCAGCCACCAGCCCAAAGGAGGGGACCATGCCCGAGGAGGTGACCTGGAGCAGGGGAGACAAAACAAGGTGTGAATCAGCACAGGGGAATGGGCAGCACAGCCTGGGGGAGCTCTCGGGGGGTGGTGCCCCCTGCAAGAGGAGATCCCCCCTAATGGGGCTGCCTGAATGCCCCACCTTCATGTCGGTGCCGCCGTGGCAGCGCTGGCGCAGGGCAGGGAAGGGGTAGGTGCCGTTGGGGGGGTTGAGGTCAGAGCGGGCAGAAATGGCGTTCTCGGCGTTCTGGGGGGGGTCACAGCCCCTGCACCGTGACAGAGGGTCCTGCAGGTAGTTGTTGGACCTGCCAGGAGAGGGGCCAGGAGTGAGTCACGGGGAAGACATAAATTTACAACGATGGAAAAATATCACATCCCAAGGGTCGCAAACCCCTGGGGGGTGTGGAACAGCCGGGTTTGGGGGGTCCCCAGCACAGACCTCATGAGGCGGATCATGGAGTCCAGGTCATGGACCAGCGTCTGGTTCCGGCGGAAGATCTGGGCCCGCGGGTTCTTGTCGTAGGTGAACCAGTCTCCATACTTCCTCACCAGCTCCAGGTTCCCACTGGCATTGAAGATCTCCTCAAAGTACCTGGGGGGGGATGACCCAGAGAGTCAGCACTCAACAGAGGGGTGGGTGGCAAGGCCCAGCACTGCTGCCCCCCTTTATGGGGCAGCTGTGGGTGGGATGGGGTGAATGGCACTCACGGTACGTTGTAGCTGGCCCAGTAGCCCTGCTGGTACAGCAGCTCCGTCAGATCAGCCTCCACTACCAGGCCCCTGCGCTGGGAGGAAGAGCATCGGTCAGAGCAGAGAGAAAAGATCCAGTGGGGATAAGGAGAGATGCCTTAGGATGGGCTGGACACATGCTGGAGGTCCTTACCGTGTTCCACCCCAGCCAGGGGTGCTGGGCACCCATCACCTCTACACAGGCATCCCCAGAGCCTTTAGCCACATCTCCATTTCCCACTGCCCACCCAATGGGCTGGGGCAGACATGACCCCCAGGGCTTTCCCAAACCCACAGGGATGGGAGAGGAGATGCTTCCACTGTGGCTCAGCTCAGCGCAGGAGCTGCTGCTCAGGGAGGAACGGGGTCACTCACGGGATCTGCTCCAGCACAGTCAGCACGCCCGGTGATGGGCTCGCTCCGCCTGGCGTGAAGGCGTTGTAGTCCACCACCATCCACTGGTTGTTGTAACTGGCACAGAGAACAGGAATTGCATCCCTCTGGCTGCCAGCCTCCTCCCAGGGACTCTCCATCCAGTCCCACCTCGCCCTGGGGATAAATTCCCGTGCCCCATCCCACCCCACTCACGTGCCGCTGTTGAACCGCCGGAAGACAGTGGCCCACTCGGGCCCGCTGCGGGCCAGCCGGTTGGCCACAATGTTCCTCAGCCACTCCAGGACGCTGCCCCGCGGGTCCAGGTACTTCCACCGCGCCGGGTTGTTGTTCCCGATGGTGGTTTCCAGCGCTACCTGCGGGGAGGGCAGTGAGGGGCAGGGCAGCGGGGCCGGGGAGGGGTCCCCGAGCGCCACAGCCACTCACCAACCCACTGCTGAGGATGTAGAAATCATCCGCCGAGAAGATGGTGCCGGGGTAGGAGGAAAACACCTGGATGCTCCCGGGGATCTGAGACTTGCCTGGAGGGGGGATGCAGAGGTAGGGGGGCATCAGAAGGGGGGTGTGAGGCGCAGCCCCCCCAGCCCAGCCCACGCACCGCCGGCTGAGGCGCGGAAGGGCAGCGTGTACTTCTTGATGAGGCGCAGCATGGACTGGTAGGAGTTCCAGGTGTCGTGGGCCACCAGGAGATCCCGATTGCCCGGCAGCAGCTTCACTAGGGCAGAGCAGGAGCCTGAGCCCAGCACACGCTGCAGGGAGGAGCGGTTCAGGGCAGACTCCAGGTCCTCCAGGTCACCCCCCAACTGCAGCAGCCTGAGGGGAAGCAAGATATATGAGGTACCAGGTGGGGGACATCCCAGCACACGAGCTGAGCTGGCTCAGAGCTCTCTGTCTGTCTGTCTGTCCATCCAGGCTGGAGCCATTTATTCATCCCACACTAATGCAGGCACTTGTGCTGGGAGCACCTTGGCAGTCAGATCAGGGAGGGAAGGGTGAGCACAGCAGTGGGGAAACTGAGGCAGGAGCTGTGGGGGGACCCACTCCCCAGATCATGGTGTGGGGAGGAGAAACTGCCTTGGCT